ATAAATATGTTGTATGAAATATTAATATAACTATATACTAATACATTTATAAACATGTAAAATAATTATATAAATTAATAAAATAATGGGAAATCCTTATACACAGCGCTCCAAGGCCAGAAGATCCTTATGTACAAAGTCTGGGTAAAAAATTAAATTTAAGAAATTTATTTTCACCCCCCTCAAAAAAAAAAATCCACCCTCACTTTGGACACATTTGTGTTATCATTCTCGCAATTTTCTGAAGCAGTTCTGGAGCTCCTCTTTTGTGAGTGTCTTTAGTTGCACTATCTTATCTACCTTGATATCCTGAATTTATTAAAAAGTGTTGACCTGCTCAGATTTTGTTGTCTTTGGGGAAGAGCCGGAAGTTGCACGGTGCCAGGCCTGGGTGAAGGAGGTGAAGGAGGACCCACTGCAATTGCTTCCATGCCTCTCCTCCGGATGGCGTTCAGCAGCAGCCTTCACTGGATTCTGGATCAGACCTTGTAAAGAGGCTAATGACAGTGGATTTCCAGAACTACTTCAGAGAGTAGCAAGAATGATGGGATAAGTGTCTTTCAGGCAAAGGACAGTTTTTTGGAGTGAGATTAATGGCAGTATGTCTTTTACTGAATCCAATTTTAAAATTTAAATCTTCACTGCATATTTTGATCATGTCTCATACGTCTCCTAAATCACAACTGTCCTCTATTTCCCAAGAATGGCAACTGTCTTTATTTCTACAGTGATTTCCTTGATATTCTTCATTTTTGTCAACTACATATCATTCCTGCAAAATATAACTTGTTTTTGCCAGATTTTGAATTTCATATGAATGGACTCATACTACAGTGAAATATGTGGGTGATTTCTCCCAGGAGATATTTGACATTGTCGGGAAATATTTTGGTATCCACAACTTGGCAGCATACTAGTGTCTAATGGGCAGGGTCTAGGAATGCTGCAAAACATCTCACAATATACAGGACATTGTAGATTATAAACAATTTTCTGAACCAAAATTTCAATAATGCTGAGGCTGAGTAACCTGTTGTAAAGCATTCTATTGTATAGCTGTACCAAAAAATTAGTCATTTAAATTTTTGCTGTTTAAATTTGTGTCGATTCCATTTTTAACTGATATAAACCATGTTTCTATGAACATCCTGGCATTTATATCCAGCGCTTCTACAAGTGGAATTGTTTGGTTCTAGGATAAGCATGTTTTTATCTTTCCTAGATTAACCTCCAAGTGTTTTAAAGTGGGTATTAAATTTTTATTATAGAAACTTAAGGTTTAAATTTCTTACCTGGTAACCATCAAGCACTCCTTTCTTCCAAATTATTTGTATCACTGTTTTGGTTAAAAGAAACTTTTTTACAGGGTAAATTTGGTTATATCCAAAACACATATGTATATGCTTCTACACAATAATTCGGGTTAACAATCATCTACTTATATTTTGTTTGCTTACTTGTCTACATATCTATCATTTATTTATATTCAGATGCTTTCATGAAGATATAAACTCCTATAAATGTATCAAATATGCCAGGCAATCTCTCTATTCTATTTTTTTCCTTGGAGATATCCCTTCTCTGCTCTTTTCCTAACTGGACTGACTGCTTTAGATAGACTAAGAGACTATTCCCTTCCCCATCAACTTGGGAATAGCATTTGACTTTTTCCTGTGTTGGATTCACCTGTTTCCTGTATTCTTTAATTTCCTTCCTTAGTTTGCTGAAGCACACTTTGGTAGAGTAAGTCCACATTCTACTTCTCCTCAATTTTGACCTTTGAACTTATACTGTGCTTTATTTCTTCTAACATATTTTCACTTTCCAAATGCAATTTCTTGATCTCTGAATGCTTAATATCCTGATTTTGCTTTTTGTTTCTTATTGCTCTGGAAAAAGTAATTATAGTTGTCCTTTACTTTCATTTGTTCCATGTACTTTTTTGTTTTCTTGGTCTATTTTTTTCTCTTTTTTTTTGTTTGTTCCAGATTTTGTTCTTTCTAAAATATCTCCTAGCATTTTTCCACTCAGAAATGTAGTACTAAGAGGCAACTTGGAAATTCTGTATATGCGGACAGAATGAAAGCAGGCACATGATACTTTTTGGTGAGAGGCCCTGTTTACTTTCATTATTGGTTTTTTGTTGTATGTTTGTGGGTGAGGGTTTGCTATTTTCTTAGAACAGAACCTTCATTCTCTTGCCTGGACATATTGGATGAGATCTGGAAATCTCACTATGAGACAGGACAGGGTCACATTTTCATCTTATGCTTCCCATGCTATGGCCAAGACCAGGATCCAGAGATAATCTGGTACAACCTCAATGAAAGAAAATAAGCCACCTTAGCTGACTAGAAGCAGTCACCAGTTACACAGGGCTGATCTGAAAGCTGAGGTCTGGTCTGTTACACTTTTTTGGGGGGGTGTATTTATTTATTTATTTATTTATTGAGACAGGGTCTCACTACATAGTTGAGACTGATCTGGAACTCACTATGTAGCCCAGGCTGGTCTTGAACTCACAGCGATCCTCCTGCCTCAGCCTCCTGAGTGCTGGGATTGCAGGTGTGCACCACCACGCCTTGCAAGGTCTGTTACATTTTTAATCAAGTATTTTGCTTTTGTACTCACATTTGTCCCTTGACTTCAAAGCTGTATCTAATTCCCGAATATATTCTGAACTGTGAAACATGGTGGACCTTAACAGAGAAGGCAGAAATCTGAGTAAGTTGTTCTTTTTCATCTACGTCTTTCTTATATGCTCGATTTTGTTCATCTTTCTAGTTGGCTCACCTTTCATTCCTCTCCCTGTAGGTTTATATCTTTTAACCTTTTCTGCCATTTCAGTGAAGTTTTATCAGGACAATAAAAATATGTTCAATCTACTGTATTTATAAAGGCCTATTCTTTAATGATAAGGTGACAAGGACCTTATAAATTATATTTAATTATGGAATGAATAATATGTAAGTAAAAATATTTTTGTAGTAGACACACACATATTACATGTGCATATACACAAACTGCTCTAGACAATGCCCTGGTGTTTTACAAGTTGGCATTTCTAAAGGATCACTTTTACATATCCATTGTACTCAAATTATTACTTTTTTTTTTCTTCAGTACTAGGGATTGGATCTAGAGACACTCTACCACTGAGCTACATCCCCAGATCTTTTTATTTTTTGTTTTGAGTTAGTGTCTTTCTAAGTTGGCCTGGCTGGCCTTCAATTTATGGTCCTTCTGATTATTCTTTTGTGCACCATTACCTTTGACTTTCATGACATTGGTCTTCCTTGTTAATGGCAGATTCCTCTGAATTTTCTTCTCTGTCTATTCTTCTTGCATTTGTGATTTCCATATTTTATTCTCTTTCTCTTCTTTTTCTTTTTCCTATTCTTTCTGTCTTTGAGGATTTCTTTTGGATTTTTTGGGAATATTTATACATAATGAGACGTCTCAGGATAGCTCCCAAGTAGGAAATTCATTTGTTACAAATATATCATATGGACCCATCCTGAAGGTTATTTTTGTGTAATATTTGTTTGAAGCATTTGAGTTTTGACTGTGACTTGTCACATGGGGTCAAGAATGGAATTTTCCTTTTATGGAATTGTATCAGTGTACAAGAAGTTGTGAATATTAGAATATTTCAGATTTTTTGATAAGTAAAGCTCAATCTGTAATAATTTTGTGCCACTTAGTACATAGCAAACACTAAAAGACTTACAAACTGAAATGAGAAATCCCCAAATCTCATTTCAATCTGTCAACTTTGACTGTGGTCCAGTGGTGATTAAGTAGTGAAATGCCCTAAAAACAGGCAACGAGAGAAAGTAAGACTTAGAGCCCATTGGAAACTACCAAACATATGATGAGACTTAGGAGGCTGAATGTCTGTATAAGAACAACAGAGTCCAAAGACCAGAAATGTCGTATTTTAATTTAACAACTTTCATAGTCCCTTGATCATTATAAATTTAACATAATGTCCACTTATAAAATCTACATTTCCTTTAAGCACTTAATCAATCAAGATTTAATAATGCATTAGTGCCTTCATAGGGAAAGATAAATTGGGTTATAAAAAATTATTTATTTTTGTTCATCTAATAAGGAAACAGCAACTACAGTAGTTGCCACTTTAAGTGACCACAGGAAAACAAAATACATAATTATTTTTGCAAAGTTATATTACAATTTTATAAGGTTAGCTACAACATACCCCATGCTTTGTTACAAATTGTATTGCTTTGGACATCTGTAAGCTATTAAATACTAAAAGGTGTTTGAACTTTAACCCACGTAAGGGGTGGGTGACAAAGGAGAAAACAGATCAACATCACATAAATCTTGTGAGCCACAATATCCATGTTAATACTGTTTTATTGCTATATGAAACAATTCTTTATATTAGGAAACATGTTTAAAAGTTGAATGGTAACTTTTAAAATTTGGTTTTACTTATGTAAAAACATCATATTTGTTTCTAATCACTCTATTGGCATTGTTAACATTTTGAATCGGCTTTTTCACATTTTTGATGCAGCTTTTAAAAAAAAGCTACTAAATACATCTTCAATACAAATAGTGCATGAATAATTTTTGTATGCAATTTTAAAATTTGGCAAGATATTACAGACCATAATACTGCCATGGAGAAGGGAAGAGATTAGGATGTAAATGAAGAGGACTTAGAATGCAAAAACTCAGTACATGATAATAATGTAAAACTTAAATAGGAACAAAGATATATTAACAAACTGTGAAAACATTAGTGATCCAAAGTTAATTTAAAATTAAAAGTCTGAAATGACTTCTACGATGATAGGCATTTGAAAAAGAGATTGGGAAGAAATTAATAAATAAGACTGTGGGTGATTTGTAAATAGAATACATGTGACATGTGAATTAATTGTTTTTCTTTTTGGCCACATGGTTGGGTTTTGGTTTACTGTAGCATCACATTAGATTCTGGCAGAAAGCAACATTTCTGCTTATTTCCAACATGTGGCCTGGCTTACTAAAAGAAAAAAAAAAAAAGGAAATTCTGTTATATTTTAAGCCAAAGTTAAAGCTCTTGGGCCTAATTTGTTCCTAACGTCAGTCTGAGAACACTGCCCTGTATTTTGCTGGAATAGAATCAGGACCTTTTGCATTGCTGTGACGGGGCAATGACGAACTCTGCGCTAAGAATGGGAATCTGTCCCCATGGGTTTCCTCCTACCCCACCTCATTTCCTCTCTCTTCTGGTTTCTCTTGTACATACTTTCACACGCATTTCACCCCAAGTCAACCTAAAGTACTTTGCTGAGGAGATTAAAAAGTAAGGCAAGCATGTACAAAGTAAAGAGATTTTCATAGTCCTAAGAAACAATTTTACCTCTAATTGCTAGAAAAACACATGCCCAGATGTATACCTTTCTGTTGGCTATTTAAAAAAAATAATATAAAAATTAGTAATAAGCCTCCCAGATTGCTGTTAAATTGCCTAATTTGGATAACTTGAAAAATAATACTTTAACTATATTATACTAATGCTAGAGATCATGGGCGAGAGAGGATGCTCCTTGCTCTTTTGCCATGTGAAGACTGCACCAGGCAATTCACATTTTGTCCTTTATGGGATCTCTTGGTTGTTAAGCTATGAACATGGGGGCCTGCCCTCTGTTTAATCATCTACATGTAGTGTATGTAGCTAACTATTTACAGGTAACAGAACTAAACAAATAAGGTTTAAACTACAAAAGTAAAAGAAGAAGAATATTTTAAAAGTTCCCCAAATCTGTAGACAGTGTAGATACTTTCTTTGCAAAGTATGTGAATGGGACAGTTCCAAGAAGTCTTTTGTGATAACAACTCAAACCTTCTGTTTCTTTGATCTTATCTGAATGCAGAGTGTTATGATTTTCATAAACAGCCTTGATTTCCTTTTCTGGTATATTTTTCCCAATCATTTCAATGTTTCTAATGTGCAAAAATAAACTGGCTGATCTGCTTTTACACTTTGCACCCAATTACACTCTGACCGTTGACATAGCTCAGTTTGTAAAAAAACTGTTTCTTAGGATTTTTTAAATTTCAAGTTTTCTTTATACAGATTCACATGATTTAAGAATGAACCTCTTCAACAGGAATTTTGAGTGAGCTCATTTTCAATGTAAGTAATGTGTGAATAAACTGGAAGCTATTGACAGCTATGTTGAAGTGCTAACTGTAAAAAGTTAAGTGCTTTCACAATGAGGCTTTCTTAATTCTCATTTCTCATGCTGTAAACAAACCATAAAATGTCAGGTGGAATTACGAATGTTAAAATGATTCCTCTTACACTTTCATGTGGTTTTGTGCAAACATAGCTTTTTGTTTTGTTTTGGCAAATGTATCATTTTGTTGTAATAACTTCTGTCCAATAAAGAAAATGGAATTAAGTGAATATTCCTTCTTTCAAGATGAGCTGTATTTATTACTGGAACGGAAGTTGTCATATCCATGATCATTAGCTTTGAACTTTAAGCACGACTGCTTTTCCTCCAAGGACTGTTTTTCTTCAAATGACTGGCACCAGCAACATAGGCATGACTGTACAGAACAAAGCAACTCGTTACAAGTCTACATTAGCCACATTGTCACCACTCTTCCTGCTCTCTGGGGCTATCTCTGCAAAATTAGGAGCTCTTGGTTCTTTTCTTTCTCCATACTCTTATCCTTCCTCATAAAAAGATTTGATTACAGTAGTTGTATATGATAATTTATTCACTAAAAATACAGAGAATGAAAAATATGTAATTAATATTTCTTACCAAGAGAATACTCTCTTGATTCTTGATATTTACTCTTGATTGCTTGATGAACACTCTTAATAGTGGGCAAATATAGATTTTAAAGACATCTTGCCTGGCAAATAGAAATATTACCACATACATGACTGTATATGTGCATGTGTTTACGAGTGTTTGGCTAGTTTGCTTCAATGAGGATGTACTCTACATACTCACAACCTGTTTTCTCTCACTTGATGGTGCCATAAACATCGCTCCATGTCAATGAGTTCACTATTATTTGGCTGTTTTCTTCAGCCACACATTTTTCTTACATGCCTTTTCAATATTGTTACACAATAAGGTTATAAAGTTTGTAAGTGTCCCAATTGTATTCGCTTGGTTTTCTCCCTTGGGATTTTTTAAAAATCCAAAACTTCATTCATTTTGTTTCCTGAGAAACTACATGTACCAGAAAATAGGAGATTTATGAATTTCTTTTCTATAAAGTGAGAAAGTTGATCTTGATACAAGTTCTCTTCTAGACCTAAAATCTGGGCAATGAGTGGTCAATAAATTTTGTAGACTGTCTTAATGTTCACAAGGAGGCCAAGCTTTTGGCTTTCCAATAATGAGATGCCAGGAATAATGGATTTTCCTCATATACAGGGAAGATGTACTTTATTTCATGTTGGATTGTTGAAGGAGCTAATGGGTGGATGGGTGGATGGATGTTTGAATGAGAGCAGCTAAATGAAGACTGATTGAACATATTCTGTATGGAACAGCACATTTCTGCTACATACTAAAGGTTGAAAAGAAGAGGTAGATCTTGATTCAAATTTCATTATTTGATTTGCTATTTTCATAAGCCATGTGAGAAAGGGTCTGACTTACTATAAGTTATGGTCACATAGTAAAATCTCCCCAAATAGAGAAACAGTGCATTTAAATAATCATATATAATTTTATTTTACTACATGTCTTCCGTCAGCCATCAATTTTTATTGTAATTTTTATTAATTTGCTGAGCAATTCCCTGTGTATAACTGATTGGTTGAAGCAGTTGTGGGGGCATGGCTGGCTAAGATGTATGGGCAAAATTCAGCTACCATGATTTATAAGCTAGTCATACTTTAAAAATCAGCCATAATATAAAGTAAGGGAAATCTGAAAAGCAATTTACTAGATCTTCAGTTAGAAATATTAATGGTTTTGAAGGGTTTTATTTGATGTCAAATAACAGAATTTTTTTCCTCTCTTTACTACAGATTGAATTCAGAACCTTCCCACTGGCATATACACCTGGGCTTGTTTTTCTTTTGTAATTTGAAACAGGGTCTCCCTAAATTGCTAAATTACCCAGGCTGGGCTCCAACTTGCCATCCTCCTGTCTTAGCTTCTCAGAGTGTTGGGATTGTCACCACACCCATGTAGCTACAAAAAGTTTTTTTACATTAGAATATTCTCTTACCTTAAAGCAGTTTTTGAATCTTTTGCTCACCAAATACAGAGCAATTGGATTAATGCAGGAATTCAAGGAGGCCATGTTGATACCGATATAGTCCATTACCAACAAAAAGCTGCAATCAAATAAAAAGTCCAAAATATGTTTATGAAAAACTTACTGCTCTTAGCATGTATTCATGAGAGTTTAATGTTTTTGTGAAGAAAAAAAAAATCAATGCCCCATGTTCTGAAATTATCACTAGTTTGTTAGTGGTGATCTCTGTCTCTCATTCTCTGTCATCTTCCCTGTTTCCCCTCCCCTGCCCAACTCTGTCTTTTAAATTAAAATCCCTTTAGAAGTCCTGAGGCTGACTGAAAAGAAAAAAAAAAAAGCATTTATAAGTATAAAGGAGAATCAGATGTGCTATTTTCAGTCTTGCCATTTGCTCATTGTTTTGACATCACTGCCTCTGTCTTCCCAGGGTTCTCATAGGTCTCCTTTATTCCTTTCTCTAAAATAGAAGTGAAGGTAAAATTGGAGTTCTTAGTTGGTCCTTAAGGGTTAGAAAAGTGACACTGTCTTTGCCTATGACAGGGACCAATGGAAACACTTCTGAGTGATATTTATTTACCAAAGGATTGATTTCTATTCTACTTTTCTTACCTCAAAAGGTCACATCTATTGGGATCATTCTGATCATAAAGAGTGAGCTTCAAAATCCTGCTGAGGTGAAGGGGAAGCCAACAGAGCGCAAAAACAAGGACCAGGCAAAATACTGTTTTGGCCACTTCTCGCCTCTGAAATGAAAACATAGGCAGACCCTTGAAAGCAACTTCTGCATATTAAGAAACAAACAGAAAGTTTAATATTATTTACAAAAATCAGTGGCAAAAAAAAAAAGGACAAAGAGTCTTCAACTAAATACTTAATATAAATTAGAACTAAAATGACTATGGATTTATCTGTTAAAAGTTATTTTTCTCTCTAGGTCCTTTTCGATGTTGTAGACTACTTCTAAGTAGATAATATAAAATTATTTTTTAAGATTAAAAAATACCAAAAGGAAATAAATATTCCCTAGTGTATAGTTTTAGTTATTTTCAATCATCATAATTTTCATCTTCATAATCGTAATTGTAACCATGAACCATCCATTCCTTGGATCTGCTTACCTGCTTTAAGTGGTCATTTAAAGCTATCTGCATACCACTCTTCTTCCTCAGCATCTCACAGGTCATCAGAGTATAAAACAATGCAGTGATGGCCAAGGGCAAGCAGAAATAGAAGCTGAAGAGCCACCAGTCTTTAGCTGTCTTGTAAAACTATGAAGGAGAAATAATTGTTAAGAGTCGATATTCCTGTGTAAAAAAAAAAAATTTGTGTACAAAATGTGCAATTTAAAAAAATATTCACCAAGGAACAGTTATCTTCTAAGGGAGAACCTGTTTTAGAAATACTATGCAGAAACTTTCAGTCCACATCTACTAAACAAATAATTAAATATAACAAACTTTTCTAAAAAGCATTTCCAGTTCTTTGTGTTGGGGTAGTATAATTATTCACCGGGCAAAACTGTAAGTATTGGTGATTTAATACTTTGTCTCCACATAAATTATCCTTCGCTATCTTCTTTCTGGGAAATACCATATCTGAATATATAAAGATATCCTAGTGTTTAGATGAGGCTTTCATTTTTCAGTAACTTTGTTTAGCAGGAAAAGCATATATGAAAAAGTCTATATCAACTATCTTGGTCAGAAACATATAAATATAAGGTGTCAATTAAAAAATCAAAGTGCTTATTACTTATGTCTTTTATTCTGTTTCTGATCAGTATATGCTACTGTGTCTGTATTGGAGAATAATTTATATAAATTATGGAGTACTTCCCCCTGTTTTTACTAATAATAACATTCTTAATTTCATATTGCCTTTCTTTATTCTTTTACCTACACAGTTCATGAAGCTTTATATAGTCTTCTTATATATAAAAGAGAAAATAATCCTCGGTGAAAGATCAGCCTACCTTGTATTAACTTCTCTTAATCTATTCTGCCAAAAAGAGCCTTTTACATTTAGGTTCTGACTGGTGCAGACTAATGTCATAGTTCCTTTTTCGGATTAAACATTCGTTAATAAATGACCAAGATGAAAAGTTCTTTCCAAAGACAGCCTTTCCTTTAGATCAAAGATAGAGGGGTAAGCTTGCCACTCAGAATTGACCCATATCAGTGGCCGTTAGGTAAAAAGAGCAGTAAACCAGGACCAGACCAGGACTATAATCAGCCTTTTTTATGAGTGGATCTGCTGGACTGCCTCTGAAGAAAGGGGAGAAAGAAATATGGCCTAGACAAGGGAGTGCTTCTTATAGGACTCGGGTGGGGCTTACAGGAGCTGAGTGGGATTGAGTAATGTAATGGCTAAGGATTGGGGGAGCCTCTGACATCACTAGGAGGGGTTTGTGTCAGCACTAGTTAGGGCCATCTTAAGGTGAGGGAAATCTAACAGTGGCTTCTATACGAACAACTTCAGAACCATCTCTTGCCTGATGACTGCTGTGTGGTCTAGTGCAGAGTATATGGGAGTGGCTATTTCTTAAGGCTTTGGGTAAAAAGCATAAATCCACATTAATTCTCATGTGAGCTTGGTTTATTTGCGTTCTTGAGATCCAAACGGTTCTTGAAGAAGTAGTGACCTGATTCTTGCCGCTTGGGTCTTTAGTCAAGGATAGCACTACAGTCCTGGGAGCCACATTCTTAATTTATGCTAGGGATACAGATCAATAACTTTCTAAGGATAGGGATCAGGGAAAAGTAGCTAAAGATTTTTGAGGTAAGGGCAGAGAGGAGAAAATAAAAGTAAAATTTACCTGCATAAAGGCTGTTTTCTGAACGGGGTGAAGCATGCAGATTCGTAGATGACTTCCTTTGTAGTTCATAGTAATCATATCAAAACCTATGGCTTCAGGGACAGCCAGAACCACAGAGATCACCCAAATTAAAACAATTTCTACTGCTGTCCATTTTGGAACTCCAATTCCTTTAATTCGACTCCAAGAAGCAACAGCTCGATATCTGAAGATGAAAATAGATGTTCAAGATGCTGAAACTTGGCTGTATTGAACTACATAGTTTAATTTCTATAGAACACAGTAAACAGTAGTATAGTGTTTAAGATCTAAATGGCTTAAAAACAAATTCTTACCTGTCGATACTCAGCGCACACAGACTCAGCACCGTGATTCCCACGGAGGCCTTCTGTATGAAGGGCATCAGCTTACACATCTCAACTCCAAATGGCCAGTCTTCTGCCAGAAGCTGCAGGAGGGGACAGAGAGCTCTGTGAGGGAGGCATTCAAAAGAAGCCCACTGACATATGCAGTAAGAGTTGGTAACTGCTATGGATAAAAAGGAAAGTAGAGTAGGGCAAGGGAGATGGGAGGGCCTGACTGGTTATAGTATTTAATAATATGATCCAAATAGGTCACATTGAAAAGAGTGGATTTGAGCAGAGTCATTAGCAAGAGGAGTAGGATAACAAGTTCCGGGTTCTTATTCTTTTTCTCATGGACTTCTACCCCTTTGAAAAGTGCTAGTGATCAAAGTATGTAACAGGAGAGTGCATGAAGAGGAATAAAAAGTCAATTTATAAGAATTAATTGTTCATATACACTAACTGAGTCAGGATCTCTTGTGTGGGACTAACTGTGGCCAGTTGCTTAAGGTCCTATCTGAAAATTGATGCAAATGTCATAGATTCCCAAATCTCAGATCATGGCCAAATCAAAATATAGGTTACTGAAAACCAGATGATAGATATACTTAGCTAAGGAGACTAAGGGCACCCTCCCCATGAAGCAGTACTCTATGAAGAGTATATGCATTCATACACTTGTTGTTAACTGCAGGCAATTTACTTAACTGAACAGTAAATCTGCCACACTGCTCCTTGACTATACTAGGCACATCCCTGCTTTAAAAATTTGCTCTAGCTCTTATTCTGGAAGGCTGTTTCACTACAGAGTTACTTGGCTGACTCTCACCTTTTTTAGGTCCTGGTTGAATCTTCTCTTTTCAATGTGATCTATTTGGATCATATTATTAGATACCACAACCAGTCAGGCCTTCCCATCTCCCTTAGCCACTTTCATTTTCATCCATAGCACTTACCAACTCTTACTGATTATGTTATAACTTTTACTTATTTGGTTGTTTAGGTTTTAATACTTGATCCCTATAGTATAAGACGAAATATGAGTTTTTAAGTACTTAGAATAGTGCCTGACATGTAGCAGATGCTTAATAAATATTCATGCCTCTAAAATATAGACACAAGCAATACAATGAACAAAAAAAAAAGTTCTTGCTGTTATATATAAGTATTTCTCTTTATCTGATGCAGACTATGCAACTATCCATTATTAAATGTGGTTGTTTTCACTCTTAGAACCAATGGGTGTGCCCCACACTGGTAAATGAATCACTTTAGGTAAACATCTGGACCAAATGTTTATGAGGTTTTGAAAATGAAGACAACTATTTCAGATCTATGTTTTTTTAAAAAAAACATGTTTAAAAAATAACCTTCCAAAAGTAAAAACTATTTTGAAGCACAATTGGGTATTTCTGTCCTTTAGTAATATGGACTCAATTTAGTTTGTCAGGCTGTGCTGATTGTTCTATAAGTAGAATGGAATCAAGGGCTAAAATGTGTGTCTCATTGTGGATATGACTTGAAAACAAACATAGGATGAATTTCATTTTTATATCAGACATGAAAATTTACACAGAAATGTAGGACAAATGTAGGCTGACTTTCACATATGTGTTTCACGTAGGGCCCTTGAAGCCTACAGGACCAGGCAGGTTGACACAGAATAGTAATGGTTGTAAGCAAGTTATTGGTGTCAGGAAGATAATAGAGAAGGATGGGGTCAATGGAAATCTCTGTATGATAAGAACAGGTGCTAATAACATCATGTAATTTTTCTAATGCATCTCAAATATAAAAATACCTTGATTTTTTGAAAGAATCAAAAAGTTGTAATTTTGATACAAAATCTCACCACTTAAAAAAAACTACCCATTAATGAATATTTTAAAAAATCATCATAATGTTATACTAACAAAATGGACTTCTGAATTAATAAGTTCACTCATAACTCTGCTTGATAATTCACTTAACAAATACTTATTAAGTATTTACCACATTTCAAAGACCATATGGATTCCAGGGTACATTTCAATGAACAGTGCAAGCCACCTACATTTATGGAACTTATTCCAAGTTCTCTCTGACAACATGATATTTAAGTAGCAATGTGACTGAAATAAGAGAATAAGCATACAAAGAACATGTTAGGTAGAGAAAGAGCAAGGTCAAAGGCCCTGAAGTTAAAACCAAACCAAACCAAACCAAAACAAAACAAAAACAACCTAGCTTGTTAGAGTGGAGGCATAGATAACCAGAAAGCCATCAAGGGTGGGACAGAGCGATCACAACCAAGTATATAGGAGATGATGCTGTATAGAGGAGGAGGTTGAATGCTTTTTTTAAGGGAACCCATTGCAAGGTTCTAAGTAGGGAACTGGAATAATACCTTTTACCAGTCAGGCTGCACAGTATAGAATAGTGTATGTGATCAAGAAAAAAGGCATTGCTGAGAACTACATGATGCACTTCTAAACACCCCCTGAAATGAAATTAATAAAAATGTTTTATCTTCTAAGAGGCTTGGATTGTCCTCCCTCCCTAGTTAATTTTAAAAACAGAGCGTATTCTTTCCTCTGGTCAAGCTAAGCAGACTTTGAACATGTTCTCCCTGTTGCTGTTCCTGTAAATATCGTTGTTAACTTCAATATAATCATTGTGGAACAATTAGCTAAAGGTGTCACAACGTGGTCTGCAAGCTTGATTTGCAGAATTATACATTGCTCAATGGTCTGCTAGTGTCAATAAGTCTGAAAAACTTGATTTTATCAAAACTTGTGAAATGATCTGTTTAGCCACTGGACTCTCTTTCTGTACCCCTTTCCCATGTATAATTTACAATTTTTCTTGCAAGGGAAAGCTGTCTTTGAGGTCTTGTTCTTCCTTCTTAAACGATACCTTCTTAATTAAACTTTCTCTAATCCGAGCACTGATATTTGATGTTTGGTCAACACCAATGCTGCACATTGGCCACATGATTTTTATTTGAGGGCTCTGTAACAAGGTTTGGTAAGTCAGCAAAGAATTTGTGGGAGATACCTCGATATAGGGTTATGCTTTTAGGGCACTGTTTGTTCTGAGGATGTCTCTGGATTGTCTTCATAGATGGTGTTGGCCACCCTTGCTGCAAAACCACTAGGAGAAGAGCAGTTTCTAAAATTTTGTTCACCTTTCCCTCCCTCGCCCCTGCCTTCCCTCTTCCTCCTTCCTTCCTTTTTTTTCCTTCCTTTTTTCCTTCCTTCCTTCTTCCCTCCCTTCCTCTTTCCATATGCCCCTCCCACCTCTTTTTGTGGTGCTGGGATTTCACCCAGAACCTTGTGCATGCTAGGCAAGTACTCTATCACTGAGTAATACATCTGGCCCTATGTTTCAGTTTGAACCAGGTGGGTGAATTGACTCATGACATTCAATCGCAGAGTTCCCTTTCTATTTGTATTCAGTCTCTTGTGATTACAGGGATCTGTTGGGACAATTTGACAGAGTGACCATTGTTGAGGGGAAGTGTATGGATTTGTTTAACCTTATCCTTTTGCTGTTCTTCCTGTGAAATTGGTTAGTTTAGTGTGCTGTGTTTTGTATGTCTATATCTTCTTTTGTAATGTTGTTTGGCCTCAGTGTGTTTTAGACTTGGGAGAAAAATGGCCTAAGTTATCATATCATTTAGCAATTAGAATTATTTCAGTAAGTGAGAAGGCAAATGAAAAGACTGTATGTTACTTTATCAAAATGAACATGCTTGGCACATATGCATTATCATGGTCCAGCAGGCAGAAAAAACCTAAGCCTATCCTCCCTGATATAGAATGGGAGAAAGATATAGAAATAATGTTAAATCCTCTAAATTCACAAATGGATCTGCCACCACAAGCTCCTCAACCATTGAGTGGCAGCCACTCTACTCCTTAATGGGAGAAAAACAATCATTCAGAACAGGGATGGAAAATCATTCATAAAAAAGAAATATCTAAAGTAGCCTCCCCTCCCCTACCTATCAGGGTACCCAGTTTGGCAAGAATGCCACTATTGCCTAGGTAAGGTAACATCTGTTTTGTCATGTTTCCGTTGGAGGAGTGAAGGTGAATGACAACCAGCTGGAGTAATTTGTATACATTCTCATTTCTCTACTTCTGGCTAATTTAATTGAAAACACAATACTCTTTCTTATCAAGAAAATTCTTCCCAAATGGAGAATTTATTTGCCTCCAGTTTTTCTTCCTGCCACTCCTTTGGCTTTACACTTGGGCTCCCAAGAATATTATGCTGATGGCTGGAGAATCTTTAATAATTTTTGAGAAAACAAGAGAAGTCCAAAGATTCCACCTAGCACATCCAATGAATCCTGCTGGATCAGAGGTCAGCATACCAGTCCCCATAATGGGACCTATCTCAGATGTAAATGATGGTAGATTACCCTGTATCAAAAATTGTAGGAGATGCTTATTGGCAGGACACCTTAAAGGGATCCCTAAATTGAAGAGATTTACAATGTACAGGAGGTTAAATGAAAACCTCTAGAGAATATCTGAGACATTTTGGACTGTAGGTTTTAGGCATATTAATATTAATCCCAAGGTTCTAGAAAAACTAAAACAACGTATTGATACATATGCTTTTTTATTGGCCAAATACTCCTAACACGAAAAAGAGACTTAAAATGTGAATAATGCTTTAGTAGTGTCTATTTTACAACTACTAGAAAAGGGTTTTAAAATTTGTAATAAGAGAGATTTAGCACAGAATTGGAAGGGACAAAAGAAAATGAAGCAACAGAATTCCTTGCTCTCAGAAGCTCTCACTCAGAATCCCAAAGGTAAAAAAGGAAAGCATTATATGAAGAGCGCAAAGAGGGTAACCAAAAAAATCATCCCCTTTCAGGAAAAACATCAATATAGCAAGGAAGAATGATATTGGATGGGATTACCCAAAACTGAAGAAGCTAAAAGATTTGGAAGAATAAACAATTCTGCCACTTAAATGATGAATTGAAAAGGTAAATTTCTGTGAAGAATGAAGAAGCCAAGGGGCTCTCTTTGAATTAACACAGCCTCTCACTGTATCATTATAGGACCCTCAGGTACAAATCAATGACTTTCTTGTAGATATGAGA